TAACATTTTTGGTGTAAGATAGGGGGATGCGTTCACGCCAAACGGAATACGTGTGAATCGTAGCGTACGGATGTTTCCTTTGGAGGGACCTCGTGACGGGTCCTTCAGCCAGAGGAACCTTGTACCCTGATTTTCGTGTAGACGGATTTGATGGAACGCTTTTTCGACGTCCGCTATGATCAGTATTGGAGTAAGGCGTGCTCGCAAAAGGGTCCCACATAGGTCCGGTAGAAGTGATGGTCCTTGATGCACACAATCGTTGAGGCTTGGTACGCCTCTCATGTGGCTGGACGCATCGAAGACAATTCGTAATTTTGTGGTAGCACTGTCTTCTTTAAAGACTGCCTGATGTGGGATGTAGTATGTTGGATTTTTCGAGGGCGACTGTTCGTGGACTTCTTCTATGATACCTTGCTTGAGTTGTTGTTCGAAGGTATCGCAGTACTGTTCCACACATCTTTGTTATGGTGGAGCTTGTGGTACTGAGATTCAAGTCTACGAATCGCCAGGGCTTTATTATCTGCTAGCGGGGGATGCTCTTTTTTCCAAGGGAACTCGACATGAACTAAGCCGTCAACGATTTTCACTGTGTTATAAAAGTGCTGGACTATGTCAGCATCTGTCTCGTCCACTTCGTCTTTCATGGCTAGTGTTTCAAGCCCGAGAAGTTGACGTACTATGCGCTCCGTTTCGTTGATGGATTCAACGTCGGGCGACGGTGATGCTGACTCTGAACTATGGAACTACAGTGGAACTCGATGACGACTGCAATCCTGATAAGACGGGACCAAGTGTTGTATTAGACTGGACTAAACCAGAGGGGAGTAGGCGATTGGAATTTATCTCAACTACGTCCCAGTAATGGTCCATTCCTATCAGGATGTCGACCTCTTTACGGTCTTTGCTGTTATACGGTGGGACTGTAGAGTCCTCTGCTGAACTAGGCGACGAGCTGTACGGGACAGAGGTTATAGACTTTTCGTGTCCATAGGTTGAGAGACGTGTCGGTCTCCCATCTGTCTCATTGTGTAATACAATTCTAACTCGATAAGATGTTTCTGTTTGAGCATGGCCTCCAAAGGCTATAGTTGTTATATCCTTTGGTTGCCTTAGCTTCAATCCACAAAGCTTTAGCTATGTCTTCTTTGATATAGCTATGCTGGGATCCGCTATCGAGGAGAATCGTAAGTACTTGCTCAGTCTTTGTATATGATTCTTTGTTAGTGCTCGGGCTATCATGAGGAGAGAACTGCTCATGCGGTTAGCAGTACTGCTCACTGCTGGTTCAAGTGGTGTTTCCAACCAATTGAACTGTGTTTGTTAGGAACACGTCTTCGTGAGACTCGCATGATGACCTCGACTCAGAGCCGTCTGTGGAATAGTCTGCATCTTGGGCTTGATGCATCCACGCTGGACTAGAGTAAGTGTGTGTAGTGGGTGAGGTCTTGAAGTCTACCCTAGGGTGGGGTGAACTTCTACGGCGGTGTTCGTGGACGCCACGGACTGGCGGACCTCACACGTATTCCGTTTGGCGTGAACGCATCCCCCTATCTTACACCAAAAATGTTACATATACTTTGAAGAAGGAACTTCCACATTGTTAGAGGAGCAAAAACAAGACAAATTAAAAATCAGAATACTTAGGGCAACAAAACTGGTGCTTAGAAACAGAAAAATAAGAATAAAAATAACATAGAAATTTTGTAAAATCGTAACAAAAAATGAATAAAAATAGCGAGCTTCGAAGTGCAATATTCCTTTGCTTGTACGTCAGTTATTTACTTTTTACAACAAGCAAAGTTGTTTGTGGCCAAATTAGATTTGACGATAATACAAAAATAAGATGATTCGTGTTTTTGGTCTTCTTGCATTATTTTCTAGCAGTTCCGATAACTGCACTTCCTGATGGCATAGAATACTGTTGTAGCATGTTTATCATCCTGTTTTTCAAGACATTGGTAACTAGAGCATCAAGCTCAGAATAATCATCTACGTGACTGGTCTCTTCGGGTAAGAAATCTGTCACACGACCGATCACTTCATCCACAAGCGGTGTTGCGCTCATTTTCTCGTCTACTTTGCGTTGTAGTCTTTGATCAATAAGATGCTTTATAGTCTTCTCGTCCAGGGGTGACGTGCGAAAAGCGATGTTATTTTTGTACTGGTCCAATACAGTACGATTGGTGATAGCCGATTCCATGTAAACGACTGATATAACATACAGGATAGGGAATCTCGCCGGTGCGAGCTCCGAATTTGTTGCCAGTTTCAATAACGAGAGATAAGGGTACGTTGCGGCATCTTCGTCGAGAATTCTGTTACGAATGAAAGACACGTAACTCTCCATTTCAACTCTGACATCTTGGTTCAAGTACAATTTTGTATACCTCCATTTGATAACAGCAAGATTAAAAAACTTGTGCCAAGTCATATTACAGAACACTAACATATCTTTAACATAGTCGCTGAGAGTACTGCTTGGCGAACTTAGGAAGCCCAAAACGATTAGTCCATAAATCTCATTAATTTCGCTTAAGCCCCTCAAGCCATCATCCAAGGTTGCTTGCTTTTCCGGTATTGTGTCGATGAATTTTCTTGACAATTCTGTTGCAGTATCAGATGTCATTCTGTATGCTAAAATTAATCCGGTCTTTATGCGCGCCGTAGCCGTAGAGTAGGCTAATGGCTGGTGGTCGCCTCTTGACACGCTAAAACAAGTTGCAATAATTAAACATGTCAGTAATCTGTCAAAAGTGTCATCTGTTATTCCTGGAATGCTACCTTCTGAAGCATTCATATATTCCTGGAGCATTTCGCGGACGTTCTCATGCACCCAATTTGGTTTTTTGTCCTTTATCACATCTAGCATGCCCGGAGATTTCACAATAATAGAGAGCAGTTGCGCAGTTCCGGTTTTGTACATTAGTCGTACAAACTCCTGGTGGATGGATTGGTCTTGACATGCCAAAATTGATTTCAAGAAGCTTAAACAACGATCCTCCGTCGGCGGAAGATAAGGGGTAATCAAGCTCGGTGTGACAGTCAATTTGGTTTGCACGCTCAATGTTAAACCAAGTTTCTGTTCGGCTGCTGTTATTGCTTTGAATCTTCCATAGACTGGTGCAAAGAATCTTTTTACGTCACAACGAGGCCTTTTTATATTAGATTCCTCGATGACCTGCGGCTGATTCTTTTGGTCAGACATACTTTTACTACCAGAAAAATCCTTTGTTTATTGAACAGAAAAAACTGTGAATATTGTATATCAATGTAATACCTATCTGCTAAGCATGTCAATCAAATATGCTCTTGAAAGGGACAAGAATAGTTCAGTTCATGAAGAAATTCTTGCAAACACGTACGTCGATAATGTCCTCATCGGCGCAACATCGGCCAGTGAAGGCATTTCGAAACAAAAAACATGCAAGAATATCTTCAAAAATATGGGTATGAACCTTCGAGAGTTCATGTCCAACAATAAGCAGATCATGGAGTCCATCCCAGAGAAGGATCGCATGAAAAAGATTAAGGCCTCAGTCAAACTCCTCGGTCTCAAGTGGAACACAGAGGCAGATGTACTACAGATCCCTATAAAAATTGCTTCAAAATCTGTAGTAACAAAAAGGTCAGCCCTAAAGGCATTCGCATCTACCTTTGATCCACTTGGACTACTTAGTCCACTAATGATTAAGGCCAAGATCTTCATCCAGGACTTGTGGTTAAGCAAGCTTGGATGGGACGATCCCCTGGACGATACCACATATTCAGTGTCTGCTATCATAGAACAAGCATTATCGGCTTCGGCTGGAAGTGTCCCACGCTACATTGGACTTCCCCAGCGCGTCAAGTACGATATGGCGATTTTTTCAGATGCATCAGAAAGGGCATATGCCGCAGCCGCATACCTGGTATGCAGGCCCCTCGCATATGAAACCCTTCAGTAACTTGATCTTCTCCAAGACCAAGTTAGCCACACCTGGAAAAATTCACCATACCAAGGCTCGAGCTACTAGGCATAACCCTAGCCACTAAAATAGTTCAGTTTCTAATACAGCAACTAACCATAACACCTAGTTCAGTTCAACTGCTGACCGATTCGCAGATAGCGTTGTATTGGATTCACTCCAATAAGCAGTTGAAAACATTCACTAACAATAGGGTTAGAGCCATAAAAGAAGTACTTGATGAACTTACCAAAGCCGGTATCTCACACCAATTCTTTTATGTTAATACAGAAAATAATCCAGCGGACTGTGCAACCCGAGGCATTTCTGCCGCGGAGATAAAAGACCACATCTGGTGGCACGGTCCTCAATTTCTCACTAGTCCAGCAAGTCGTTGGCCGAACGCGGATTTTAACTTCACCGCTAAACCCCCTCGCACAGAGGAGGCCGAGGCGGAGTTAAAATCTACGACGGCAGTAACAACGCAGTTATATAGTTCGTTTATTCCATTTTAGATGCACTAACTCATACTCCAGACTACTTCGAATCACGAGCTACGTACTAAAATACATTGCAAACCTCAGAGCTAAAATAAAAAGAAAGCCGAAAGCCAAACTCTCTAGTTCAGCATTGTTAGATCAGGTCTCAACAGCGACCTTAGTGAACCCGCGCGACTCTGAAGCAGCTAGACTCCTCTTACTTCGCGAACACTATCGCGAGGGAGCAGCACAGCTTCAAAGCCATGCGAAGGTATTCCAGTTAATCGAAGACAACGGCATATACAAGGTACATTTACGGATGGCGAACGCTGAAGTAGACGCGTTATCAAAAACACCAATACTTCTACTTCAGAAGCATCCGCTCACAAGGCTGATAATTCTCGACTACCATCAAAAACTCTTTCATGCGGGCTCAGCCCATCTCACAGCAGCCTTGCGGAATGACTATATCATACCAAAGATTCGCTCGTAAACAGCTAATATCAAAATGTGTCGTTTGTCGGAGATTACAAGGTCGCTCATACAAGTATCCAAATCCACCTGATCTTCCATCTCATAGAGTTGTACGGAGTCGTCCTTTCGAAAATACCGGTCTAGACTACTTCGGACCACTTTTAGTTCAGTCAGAGGCCGGTCAGCTCAAAAAGGTGTGGGTATGCTTATTCACATGCACCGCTACCCGCGCATTACACCTCGAAGTGGTCAAGGACAATTCCGCACCTCAATTCCTCTTGGCTTTCAGAAGGTTTGCAGCTCGCCGAGGAACCCCTAGCCTCGTGCTGAGCGATAACGCTCCTACGTTCAAGCTCGGAAGAGAAGTACTAATAAACGAACTATCTAACTTTAAAGATAACACAATAGTTCAGCAATTCATGACGGCCAGAAACCTAGTTTGGGAATTTATAACACCACTTTCCCCATGGAAAGGTGGGTTCTATGAACGATTGGTCGGTTCCGTGAAAGCAGCCTTGAAAAAGACTCTTCACAGACAGACCGTCGACGTTTGGGCACTTCCAAACCCTTATGACGGAGATAGAGGCAACACTGAATACGAGACCCATAACACCTGTACTAACAGGGTCATACGATCAAATCTTCGTGTTGCGTCCTATCGACCTCATAAACCCACAATTCCATCTGGCCAACCTTAGTCCAGCTAATACTCGCGTAACTTCTAACGATCAGCTAACTAGTTCAGACTCGCACGAACACCTAATAACTTACTATACAGTTCTGCGAGACCTCCTCGAACGCTTTTGGGATTCCTGGCACAAAGAGTATCTCCAAAGCCTAGCCGAAAAGTGCCAAAAGACTACCGCTCCCAAACAAGGTGCAGCGAGTCCACCCAAAGTTGGAGATGTAGTACTAGTAAAAGACGAAAACGCATCTCGAACTAATTGGCCACTAGGCCTTATTACGGAGATCATTAGTTCAGCAGATGGGTCACCAAGATCCGTCAAACTCAAAGTAGGAACAGGTAAGATCCTAAAGCGTTCCCTCAATCAGCTGATCCCACTAGAAGTTTCAGCGAATAGTCCAGATTCCTTAGCGGAAAAGAAAAAACAAGAGTCACAACCGACTCGCATACAACCGCAAAGGAAAACAAAGCCTCAACGGCGAATATAACACAATTCACAAATAGTTCATATGATTTACTTACCTCTGTACTAACGAACTTTCTTTCTTCATTTCACTTCTGCACTAATCAGCCTGCAATAAACACTAACACGCGACCCTAGTTCAGCTAAAGGACGAGAAATGTAGTCGAACGGCGAAAAATCGATAAATCAATAAAGCGTCAAAATCAAAATACTCAAAATCCATGACGCAATAGTTCAGCTATACGGTAGCGCGCCAGAGCGCAAGTCGAAGATAGCTATCGATTGCCACGTGGCAACGCCATCGACAGCCGGCGCGCAGCCCAAAATCGTAATTTCGGATTTTGCAATGCCACATCACCATTTTCGCCTTATTCGACCATTTCCACTCATCCTTTTTCGCGCAATTCACTAATCCTACTCTCGTCTACTCATATTCGAAGACCTAGTTCAGAATACTAACCTCTAGTTCAGTTCCAGACAGTGCGTACTAATAGTGCAAATCTCAGCCATGAGCGCAAGCGAAAACCGTAAGAGCTTACACGAGCTCATCCAGGTACGGATTTCTATTACAGTTTGTCTTTTGAAGTGATCATTTAACAGCGATCGAACGTTTAAGTCAGGAGATCCCTGTTAAAGAGATCCATGTTTTTCGAATACTCGAAACTTCGAGTCAATCGATACGAAAACATCAAAAGACAAATATGACGTCATTCATGGTTCATTTCGAATTGATTTGCATTACGCACTTACACCCTTTTAACCATAACAATTTTGCAAGTCAACGTATTTCATGCCATTTTTTACTTCGAAGGCAAGAATTTCATCATAATCACTTTTTGATTGATTCTTGAACTAACACACGTAACCAACTAATGATCTAGTTCAGCCAGCGAGATTTATTTCTTGCTAAATAACCCTTTACTCATTTTCCTAGTTCAGCTCGATGAAATTCTCACTGACTTGCAAATAATCACCCCGTAGTTCAGCGTAAGGATTACTAATCCTTACAAAATCAAGTCGTTTTAACGAGCTTGTTTTCTCGAATAACTAGTTCAACTAGTCATACGTTTTGGCACACTGAATTACTCAAACCAGCAACCATATAACAGGCCGAAACGATTCTGCGTGACATAAAAGTAACCATTCACGTAGACATTTTCGAGAACCTTTGAACTAAAACTCGTTAACTCACACTTGATTGAAATAGTTCAGCTAACATAACAAGAAATGGGCTCTTTTTCAACGTGTTCCCTTATAGGAACTCGTAATCGACGAAATGACTGAAGAAGAGCGGCAAGAACTCCTGGTAGCTCAGGCAAAAAAGACCTTCCAAAGTGGCGGGTTTGAAAAAGGCAACCCTCCTGATCCAGTGGAGTACCCTCTTCTTCACGAACCGACGTTCCCTCACTTTCGTCAAGAGGAAGCCCGTCGAAAGTTCCCAAAAAGAACCTTCCGGGATAGTTCGTTGCAGAGAGACCCTTGCATCTTCTGCGCAGACTTCGAGCACTACAGTTCGGACTGCCCAGAAGTCAAGGAGCTCAGTAAAAGAGCCGATTTCGTAGTTCAGCACCGTATCTGTAGTAATTGTATTAAAAGCCACTACAGTACGTGTATCCGTAGGACCCATGTTCGCTCTGTGGTGAAGAAGGGCACCATAGAACTTTTTGTTTTAAAAATCCCTTCATAATCCAAGACATCACTGGCATGTGGCCCTGCGATTTCTATAGTTCATTAGCCTATAGGACCTACACAAATCCTTCCCCAAGGGCACCCAGGTACCGCATTTACAGTCGGGCCTACAAGGACCTAACTTTCTCCAGGCGGTCACCAACCCCTCCAGAGCATAGTCCAGAGTCCTTGAGACCCAGGCCACCGTACCTGAGCTAAGCCAGGGAGTGAAGAACAGTGTCCTGGCACAAGGCTAAAGGTAAGTAAATAGTTCAGCACTAGTAGAGCTTAGCTCCTAGATATAGTTCAGCCCCTTTAACTCACTTATTCATTTACTCCTTTGCTCACTTATCAATAACAGTTTTAAGATTCATTACCTTAATTTAGGTTCAGGTACTCCAGCACTTGGGTTCCCGCACCAATTTAAGGAAATTATATGTTACAATTTAGTAGTTACTAGTTCATTATTCGTTTATAACTTGTATTTACTCACCATTAACTAACCCATTTTGAGAAGCTTTACTACATTGTTACGTTGTAATCTCATGTAACTAATACCGATACATAAACCATTCATACTAACATGTAAGGAAAATCACAGTGTCACTAACAGCACCGCCGAGCCGGTCATGTCAACCTACAATATATTTCTCACATTTTTGCCCACGGGTTAGTGCAGCAAACCAACACTACGCCGTCATATGACAGGCTTACGCCCAAGCGAATTCCTTTTTCGAGGCGGGAGTGTCGCGAATCGCGAGATCGCTCCCCAAGGTTTTCCCCCGGGCGTGTTGGTTCCTACCGTAGCCAGCCACCTTGACCACCTGCCTTTGCTCTATTCATCGATTATGCGGGAAACCGCGGCCACCAAGTGGCATCGATGATGGCATCGCCAGTCGACTTTCTACTTCAACGTCTGTGCGGTTGCCCAGCCCGTAGCCTTTGCTACCGGCTTCCATCTCGTCAGTATGCACGTCTCTCCCTGCCGGCCCCACTTACTAGTTCAGCCGGCCCCACTAACGTCCCTAACGGCCTTGCCGTTCCGCTCTCGGAGAGACTCCGGCCCCGTCGCCCAGGCTGGTCCCGGTGTGGCTGCTACCTAGGGCACGAGCCCTTAGAATCTGTGCTCAATATTCCACTATTCCGTCATACTCAGGACGGCTTCAAGAAAACTCCCTTGGCTGGTCCGGGCCAACCCGGACCAGGCGACGTAGGCAACAGGCCCTCCCGGCGGAGAGGTTTGACATTCTTTTATTCCACGTAGGCATACTAACAGTTTAACTTATTGTACATAGTTTGCTAAGTAACATAAATCTAATATATCTTAGTGTCGTGTTAGTGTAGCAATACGATGTAGTACATTGTGTCTTTGGTATGCTGGTGGCGGGATATGAGCCCGACGATGCCAGCGCTAGAAGTGTTTAAACTAGCAGGTGCAGTGGCAGGGGTAGTTCAGCGAGCCCCTTGGGAGTCGGGAGGCAGTATGGCGTAGACGGCCAAGTAGGGGGAGGGAAGAACCAACTTAGGAGTTGCTCTAATACCCGCGGATAGCACTCCTCGCCACGCTACTCCTGGTGCAGGACGCCTCCGATTCGCAACACCCAGTAAGTACTTGGCTTCAGTCCACCCTTCAAGAGCTTGAAACAAAACACAACATCACTAAAAATGCGTCGATAGAGAAGCGTTTTGAGCTTGAATCGATGCAGTCGCTCTCTATAACCGGGCATGCAATCGGGGTAATCTCGATTTGGATAGCAGCGATACATCAAAATTCTTGTGAATGTTTGCTGTACCTTCTCAATTTTCACTTGGAGCTTCTTTGTGTAAGGGCTCCAGATCTGCGACCCATACTCCAGAATACTATACTGAACGACTTTTTATTTCAGATGCCGATCATGCAGGAGTTATATGTTGTGTTGTCGGACAGTTAGCCAAATTTCTTGGTATAGCTGAGTTATTCGTTTGTCTTCTGCTTGGCCTCACATACTCGGAGCTGATGTAAAGACCATACTTGTGCCACTTGCACTTTACACGCAGGAATGAGCTTAAGTAGGAAGTTTCCTTGAGGATCTTCACCCCCCCCCCTCTTGAGCTCACAAATTATCACAATCACTTGAATTTATTGATGTAAAATATGTAGAGTGGCGGGAAATCTTCACAAGAACCACCAAATGAAAGAGCAATTGCCTATTAACACGATTCA